GCGCTGAACTTGAACTCACAGAGATCCGCTTGCCTCTGCCTCCCAGTGCTGGGATTAAAGGCGTGCGCCACCATGCCCGGCCTTTTTTTTTTTTTTAACATTTTTTTATTAAATTTTATTTTGCGTGTTTTGCCTGCGTGCAAACACACCACATGCATGCAAGCCCTCAAAGGCCAGAAGAGGTCAGATCTGCTGGAACTGGAGTTAAAAGCAGGTATCAGCTGCCATGTGGGTGCTGGGAACCAAACCTGGTCCCCTGCAAAACAGCCAGTGCTTGTAACTGCCAAGCCATACCTTCAGCCCGTTACTAGGCTTCTTATTAGCATAAAGGCTGGTGTGGGTATGAGGGGACATTGGCAAGGCCCCTAGGTGTGATTTTTATAAAGACATTGGGCTTTGAAGGCCACTATGCCTCTCCAGGTTTCTTCATGGACTGGTCTGCCTTGACAAGTTTTTCGGGGAGAATGAGGCCAGTCCAGGGAAGTGGGTAGGTGTGGAGGATGGTACCAGTAAATCTGTCTTGGTGACAAATGGAACCTTTTTAAAAAAAAATATTATTTATGTGTATGAGGGTGTTGCCTGCATGTATATAACTGCACGCATGTCATGCAGTACCCTCAGAGGTCAGAAGAAGGTGTTGAATCCCCTGGAACTGGAGTTACAGGCAATTATTAGTCACTGTGTGGGTGCTGGGAACCAAACCTGGGTCCTCTGCAAGAGCAGCCAGTGCTCTTAACTCCTGAGCCATCTCTCTAGTTTGCACAAGTAGAATCTTTGTATTTGAGTGCACCAGAGGGACAGTTTTGTAATGGGTGTTATTTTGCTTTGGTAGAAAAAGATGACCAAGAATTCATTGGCCATATGAGACCAGAGTCCTACATTTTTCTCTTTTGAAAAGTACTTATTTTGGAGCCGAGTGTGGTGGTGCACCTTTAATATCAGCACTCAGGAGGCAGAGGCAGGTGGATCTCTGTGAGTTCAAGGCCAGCCTGGTCTACATAGTGAGTTCCAGGACAGCTGGGGCTACAGGGAGACCCTGTCTCAAAAAGACCAAAATTTTTTGTGGACTGGGTTGTGTGTGTTGTATGTATGTATGTATGTATGTATGTATGTATGTATGTATGTATGTATGTATGTATGTATGTATGTATGTATGTATGTATGTATGAAAGCCATGAAGTACTTCTGGAATCAGACAACAGCTTGGGGAGTTGGCCTTCTCCTTCCACCATGTAGGTCCTGGGGGTCTAGCTTAGGTCATTAGGCTTGTTGGCAAGGGGCTGTCGCTGGCTGAGCATCTTGCCAGCAGCCCACCCCCCCATTTTTTTTTTTTTTTTTTATGGGAAGTCACTACGGTTATGAATTCAGTACAGTTTCATTTTTGTGCCTTTGTAGTCTGAGCAGGACTGAGACCTTGTTACAAGCTTGGGCCTCAACCCACAGTTTGAGGTGGGTCTCTGTCCATGTGCTTGTGTGGAGTCTGTCAGTACAGAGCCTCTGTGCACACCTGTGTTGCAGGCAGCATGCGTGGGTCCTTGGGCTTTTTTTGTTTATGCGGAGATTGCAGTGTCGGTGTTTGGAGAACCAGTGTCCAGTGCTGGCTTGTGTGGAGGGGGAGGCAGAGATGCCCGCTGGAGATTCATTTCCTTCCATGGCGTTGGGTCATCATGCCATGGGGCTGAGGAAGGCCCCCTGAGCACTGTCCTGGGCAGCACCGTCCTGGCTCACGGGCACTGTCCCTTCTGTCTGTCTGGCTCTAGAAGCTCTACATCCTGGGCGGGGAGGTTGCCGAGTCCACACAGAAGTGCACCCACCTCATTGCCAGCAAGGTGACGCGCACCGTGAAGTTCCTGACGGCCATCTCTGTGGTGAGGCACATCGTGACCCCCGAGTGGCTGGAGGAGTGCTTCAAGTGTCAGAAGTTCATCGGTGCGTAACACGGGCATGGGCAGGTCAGAGGCGCTCCGGGTCCTTTCTCGAGGTCATCCCAGTGTGCATCTAGTGCTTGCTGACTGTCCACTTACGTTTATGTGTTTATCCCATGTCACAGGAATTCTTTTGGTTGATGCCTTTGTATTTCACGACAAAATATGAAAATTTAGGTAATTTGAACGATACTGGGAAAAAAGAAGCTGTGCACCCAGTTTTTGTTCTTAGTCTGTTTACTCTGCAAATCTGGCTGTTGAGTGACATTCCCACGGCACCATAGTTCAAGGTCAGCACAGCCCTAGCATTTCCAATATTAGTTCACATACGAGGACTGGGGCCGCCTTCTGTCATGGGGCCCATTTGTCAGAATACCGTTTGTTTGTTTGTTTGTTTGTTTTGGTCTTTTTGAGACGGGGTCTCCCTGTAGCCCCAGCTGGCCTGGGACTCACTATGTGGACCAGGCTGGCCTCCATTTCACATTGGGGCCTGCCTGCCTCTGCCCCCCGAGTGCTGGGGCTAAATGCTGCCACCACACCCAGCTTTCAGAATAACATGTTTAGAGTTGTGTGTGGAGGACTTTCTCCTAGATTGGTAGTTTACACTGAGGGCTGGTGGTATAGCTCTGTGGTAGAGTGCTCACCTAACATGTGGCAGGTCTGTGTTCAGTCTCTGGCACTGAGGGAAGGTGGATGGAGGACATACAGACTGAAGGAAGTGTTTGAGAGCGCTGCAGTGTGGAAGTGTTTCACACTGTGTCTTAGGCACAAGTGGTACCTCAGTGCCCTCAGCTGATGTGCTGCCCCCATGTCCACAGAGCTGCCGTCTCCAGCTGCTGCCCAGGCCTGGAGCCTTGAACCTACCCAAGTACATCCTGGGTCCTTGTGTGGCCCCGGATAGGGCGGGGGGGAGCCACTGGTTACACTCACCTCTGACCTCCCCCATCCATACTCCCGTTTACACGAGGAGGTGACACAACTCCCCAGGTGGGCTGAGAACAGGGTGTGTAGCTGTGGGGACAGCCAGGCCTCCTGGGACTCCAATCCCACCACCCTCCTGACCGACGGAACTGACCGGTGGTTTGTCCAGTGGTGTGTCAGACCTGTGCCATTTTCTTGGTCTCTGGTGACTGTAACTCAGTCTTTAGTATAAAAATCAGTAAATGTATACATACTAAAAAGCGTAGTCTAATTTTACCATTTTGAAATTAAGATCCATAAAACTGAAGATGGTTAAGATTTCTGTTTATAGAAAACCAGAACAAACTTGAAATTCCGTGATTCTAAATTTAAGACAATGAACTACAGGAAAGTATAAGTCATAAAGAAAAGCCTAAGCATTCTGCGGGGTCACGTCCCTGACCGACTGGCTGTTGACCCTTGGCAGAGCCTTCTTTCTGGAGGATTTCCCACTGCAGATTCATGCTGAGCACAGTGTGTTAATCGCAGGGACCTCGCTGGTGCAGGGCGCCAGGGCTCAGGCTGCGCCAAACCGAGCTTGCGCCTTTCAGATGTTCAGCTGTGTGCACAGCTTCCTGGCACCTGGGGGCATGGGGCAGCTCTTCAGTGCTGGGCCTGGGCACATCTTCGGGGTATTTAAAACCAGTTTGGCTTTTTGGTGGTAGCATGTTTTGTGGAGTTTTGTACTTTGTTTAGTTTGTCTGTTTGAGGCCTGTGTTAAAGAGGAGGTGGAACGTTCTTCTGGATGCCTCCGTTCCTTTGTGCTTCTGTGAGCTGCTCAGTCAGGTTGAGCCCTGCAGGACTCACCCTCACCCCCTGAGCTCATAGCACCTGCCTCTCCTTTTAAGAAGTGAAATGCCATCTGTTTCCCCAGTGCAGGGAGGCACTGACATGGAATGAAGCCCTGCCTGCCAAGCCTCTTCCCCTCAGGAGGCAGCCAATCTCTGCCGTAGAATGGGCATGCCCAGGACGTATGTCATGTGGTAGTGCTGTTTGGTTCAATTTTTTATTTCTCCAACTTTTAGACCTTTCTCCTAAAAACTGTACATGGGTTTATTTATCTGCTGGAGGTCTAGCGGATTGATTTTGTATTCTTAAAAATAACAGACTTGAACGGGGTGTCGTGGCACATGCCTTTAATCCCAGCACTCAGGAGGCAGAGGCAGGTGGATCTTTGTGAGTTCTAGACCAGTCAGGGCTACATAGTAAGACCCTGTCTCAAAAAACCCCAAAAAGTTATAGACCAATTCCAGAATTTCTGTAGTATGTGATTGCTTGGGCCCTAGGGTCAGTGACAGTGACCCAGGAGTTGCTGATTTTTGTCTCTACTGCAGTGTTTACAAAAGGGAGGAGCCGGTAGCTCACAGGTACTGAGCCCCAGGTCTTCCCCAGACTGATCAGCCTGCTGAAGCACATGCTTCCTTCCTTCCCTGGTGGATGGAGCATGGCCGAGCCGTCTGTGTCATGTCGGGGCATAGGCTTTTTGGGAGGAAGACATGTCTTCGCCAGTCTAGTCTCTTGTCTCTCTGCCTGTTCGTAGGAAGGTAAAGCATTCAGCGTTTTCCGATTCTGATGCATCGGGTGTTTCTTAAAGTGCTGTTGTGAAAACCAAAGAATGGTTCTTAATTCTCACCGTCTTCAGAAGCTGGTTGTGACCCACACTGCTGGAGCATAGTGCTATATACTTTGCAGACTTAAAAGTGTTTGGTTGATGACTAGCTGCTGGCTCTAATGTCCCAGGGCACTGGGAGTTGGTCAGCAGGGACTCGCTTGGCAGCACTGGTTGCTAAAAGCTGGTCTTGGCAGGAATTGAATTCCTAACCTGGAGTTTGAGGGCTAGGAGAGCTTTTCAGCTCCCTAATGCCACAAGATGACTGGAGAGTTAAGGGTGGTGGTGCAGCTGTGTGGGAGGGAGCAGCTCTCAGTGAAGCTTTGTCAGGCCCCTGACAGGAGGAAGGATGTCCGACTGTCTCTTGGTCTGTCTCTTTTCAGAGGGAAATGAGAGAAGTCACAGTAAGACATGAATGCCAAGGTCGCTGTGACCGCCTAGTGTGCACTGCCTGGTGTGGCCTCTCTGTGCGTCTGCACCCTTCAGAGCCGGCTCTGTTCTGTTTTCCAGATGAGCAGAACTACTTTCTGCGGGACGCTGAGGCGGAAGTGCTCTTCTCCTTCAGTCTGGAGGAGTCCTTAAAGCGAGCGCATGTGTCCCCCCTCTTCAAGGTATGCTCAGGAAGGTAGCCACCATCCACCCAATTGGACATGTCCGTGGTCCAGGCAGACATGACCGTGGCCCAGGTAGATATGACCATGGTCTAGGAGAAGGTGTGATGGACAAGGCCCCGAAAAGTGTGACACATATTTGGGAACATTCTTTACTGTGATGAAAAGAGTGGTACAAAAATCTAACAAGTAGTTCTGTTAGAGGCATAGTTTTCAAGAGCGTGTTGATGAATAATTTAATTGGTGAGAGAGATTTAACTTCCTCTCTCTGCTTTTAGAAAATCTTTAGAGGCCCTGCTCATACTGTTTTCAGTAAATGTGTGTTCTACCAGAGGGAGGAGTCCTTGGTAGACACGACCTGAGTGCCGCATAAATGACTCCGAAGTGGAGTTTAAACACTTGGTGGGTAAAGAGATTTACAACAGTTGGGATGTATATATTTTTGTATCAAAGAGCTAAGTAAATCAATGAAGATAATCTGTTTTTCGAGCTTCTGAGGCGCCAACTTAGGCATTAGAAATGATTTAGAATAAGTTGCAATGCATTTTACCTCACAGGGTTTGATTTTTCTTTACCTTTTTCTGTGCGCTGCTTAAAGCAAAAGAATTGTGTGGTAAACCTAGGGGAAAAAAAGCCCTTGGAGAATTAAATCTTAGTCTAATTTCCTAATTCCAGAAGCAGAATAGAGACAGGAAAGGAACGCAGTAGGAATTGGACCATTGGTCTGTTCCTGGGCAGAGAAATGCAGCTGAATGTGGGGCTGCCTCAGCACTTTATACAGACTGGAAACCATTGGAACCATCCTGCTTAGGTACAGAGCGTTCCATTTTCTAGGACACAAGTTAGATCCATAGACCAGACTTCATGTGGAGCCAGTTCCTCTTATTGTGCCCGCCCGGGTTCCCAGGTCAAGTAGATAAAACCTTCACAGTTCCAGGAAATGCACCATGTTGTCAAAGATCTCAGGATTTATGAGAAGTTACATGCTCTAAAAATTAAAACCTTTTTGGTTTTGGCCTTTATGAGATAGGGTCTCCCTGTAGCCTCAGCTGGCCTAGAACTTGATATGAAGACCAAGCTGGCCTTGATCTCACAGAGATAGGCCTGCCTCTGCCTCCCAAGTGTGGAGTTTAAAGGTGTGTACCACCAAGACCCGCCCCCAAATTAAAAACATTTAAAATCCATGTTTCCGTTTTACTTTTTAGGCAAAATATTTTTATATCACCCCTGGCATCTGCCCGAGCCTGTCAACGATGAGGGCAATTGTAGAATGCGCAGGAGGCAAGGTGCTAACCAAGCAGCCGTCTTTCCGGAAGCTTGTGGAACACAAACAGAACAAGGTGAGTAGAACTGAGGGTTGGGGGACCTTCGTGGCACATGGGCTCCTCGGGCTGCCTCTTCCCTCACTGATGAACCTTCTTCCCTAGAGTCTGTCAGAAATCATTCTAATATCCTGTGAAAACGACCTTCACTTATGTCGAGAATATTTTGCCAGAGGAATAGGTACGGCTGCTCCCCCTCTGCATGCCCTGTGCGTGTGTATATGTGCGAGTGTGTATGTGCGTGTATGTGCGAGGTCTCCCGAGACACCTGTCCTGATGCTTTTGTTCTGCCCCATTCAGATGTTCACAATGCGGAGTTTGTTCTAACTGGAGTGCTCACACAGACACTGGACTATGAGTCATATCCTTTATGAAGGCGCATAGTAGGGGTGGGTGGGGGTGCAGGTGGCCCCATCCTCAGGGTGACCCTTGGAGGGCCACCATGGCACTTGTCGTCAGCCCCTTTCCTGCTCTTGTGGCACGTGCAGTCAGTAGTCCTTTTCAGAGGGCCTGCACTGTCTGGCCCATGTAGGTGTTTAGAGATTTGACAGTCAGACACCTTTGGAATTGATGGTGAGGCAGAGGCCTGCAGTGCCTTTCTGGTGTCAGCTCCTTAGGTCTGTTCCAACTTGGCAGTCTGCTCCCAACTGAGGTGGGACGAAGCAGAGCACACAGCAGCAGTCACGGGGTGTTGCGGGTTCTCAGGCCAGCTGTGAAGACCCTCACCTGGATCGGGTCCCCTGCTGTTTAGGGGGGGTAAGAGGCGTGGAGTCATGACACAGAGACCCCAGGAGTTGGGTAGAAGCAAGCACTAGGCGAGGTGCTGCAGGCTCATTTAATGCAGGAGGGGGCAGGCCTTATATTTCCCTTTTCTCCTCTCCCAAGTCCCTTTAGTCAGTGTGTTGTTTTCTGATTGGCCCGTGCCACACAGTCTGTCAGCAGTCACTGGGCTGGCGAGCAGGGTACGGAGGCACGGGCTATTTGCGGACCAAGAAGTGAAGTGAATTCTCGCTGAATCCCAGGGTTCTGAGTCCGCGCCATCTTTGGAGGCCTCCTGCTACAACGGGGGGCCTTTGGTAGTTTACACTCTGTATTGAAGATCAGAGATGCTATCTTATGGAAGAGGTAGGGTTTTCAGACAAGGTCTTACTATAGCTCAGGTTGGTCTGGAGCTAACTTAGTAGCCTGCGTATCTTTTTTTTTTTTTGTCTTTTTGAGACAGGGTCTCCCTGTAGCCCTAGCTGGCCTGGAACTTGCTATGCAGACCAGACTGGCTTTAAATTCACAGTGATCCTCCTGCTTCAGCCTCCAGAGTGCTGGGACTACCCACCTGAAGTTGTTTTAACATGTGAACAGCCCCTAAGTCTCATGGTTTATGTAGAAGGGCATTAGCCACCCAGGTTGGTATTAGGATCCCTGGCCCCTTCGCCTGTTCCTGCTTCATCCAGCTGTCATGTTTATCAGTCACTTCCTCTGAAGCCCCAGAGAATTTAATGTAACATCAGGTAGCAACCCGGCTGGGTAGGGGCATCCAGGCAGTGCCCCCTGCCTCCATCAGCCCCTGAGACCTGGGACCAATGAGGGACATGTGTTGCAGTGTATGGTTTCACACAGCATGGCCTCCTGCGTGTTTTCTATGTTTTTCCTCCTGCTCACGCTCGTGTCCATCAGTCTGTTCTGGTCTGCAGTTTCTCTCAAAGGAAGAGCTGCCTTGCGGGTTACTGTGGTCATCTGTGGGTGTTACCTCTGGGACGTTGACTTTTTGGTTTTTTTTTTTTTTTTGAGACAGGGCCTCACTGTGTAGCCCTGGCTGCTCTGGAACTCATAAAGCTCTGCCTGCCTCTGCCTCCCTAGTTCTGGGATTAAAGGAGCACACCACGCTGGACTGGGGTCTTTCATATGCCTATAACCTAAAGGTTGCCCACAGTGGATGCTTAGAATTGAGGGTCTTGGGGACATTGGTAGGCTCAGCTTTTTTGTGGTGTCTTAGGGAACAAGACCCAAAAGGAGTGGGCATTTGACTTCTGGTTGAAGGGAGACTGCAGCTATGATTGGGCTTACGATCTGGCCAGGAGCAGGGCTGCCTCCATTCCCACAACCTGTGAGTGAGGCTGAAACCCCTGCTCGTGTGCACTGGAGTGCTCAGGACCAGGATGCTGAGGTGTACAGCAGGGGTTCATCGGGCCTGGGTATTGAGGTGTGCAAAGACAGACTGGCATGACTCGGGGGAGGCGCTAGCTGAAACTGTCTTGCTCGGATGGGAGGCTGGTTAGTGTTCTCCTGCCCTGTGTGAAGCCACTTTCCTCAACAAGTCCACATATAAATTTAACTGACAGCCTCTTGTCTGTTGCAAGCCTGGAGCCCGGGCACAGGGCTAGCTGTGGGCGATGCACACACCGGGGCTTCCTGCAGAAGGTGTGTTTTCCAGCTCTGCCTTAGGGAGAGACGCTCCACCAGGAAAACAGATGTAATTCTTATACTGCATCTTATTAAGATGTGCGATCTTATTCTGAAGAAACATAAATTATGTTGTGTATTATATGCCTGTGAACCCTGATTAATTTGCCAGGTTTTTACATGTTTTCCAGAAAACTATGGAATTTCAGCTACAAATATAGTGGTGTAAATAAAGACCTTGCTTCTAAATTATGGACGCTAAAGATTTGAAATGTTTGTACTCTCGACTATTTTTATTTCTTACACTTTTCTTTTCTATTGATAACTTGCCCACATTTAAATAAATGTACTTTTGAACTTAGAATTGAGTGATGATCCCTTGTCATTTCACATTCTTTGTATAACTTATATGCTTTCCTTGAAACTGGATGGCATTTTAAGGAATTTCATAGCTAAGTATTTTGAAGTAAGCAAGAAACAACTTTCGGAAGGCCGCCATCCCTCACCAGTATGGTAAGTTGGCTCTGGGCAGAGTTGGTCTGGAACTCCTCCGCAGTCAGTCCACTCAGGCCACAAACCTCGAGCCAGGAATGCCATTGAGCCCGTCCCCATGCTGTTCTGTCTCTGGTGTGGGCAGCACCTGCCATGTTGGACTGAGGTGCAGTGAGACCCTGTTGCACTGCCCTGCGCAGTGGTGACTTGATAGGCAGTATCATGGTTAACAGTAAGGAACAGTATCTTCAACCCGTTTTCTGGCTCTGAGCTGATGCGATTTCTTGGAGATCAGATGGTTTGCATACTCATTGTAGAGATGTTTCTGCTGAGCTATTCACACCGTCCCCAGCAACAGCATTTATCAGAGGCACTCTGTGCTGGCTTGAGGAATTGTCACAAGCTGTGCCTTGCGGAGTGTGTGTGTTTGTGTCTCTGTCCTTCACCCGGGGAATTTGTTGCTACAAAATTGCTTCATTGGAAGTCAGGATGAGTGGAAGAGCTGCGGACATTTCCATATGTGTTAGTCACTTTCTGTTGCTGTGTTAGAAACACTGACCAAAGCAGTTTCTAGAAGGAAGAGTTCATTTGAGCTTATGGTTCCAGGGGAATTACAGTCCATCATGGCAGGGAGGCACGGTGTCTGGAGGTGGCTGGAGCAGGAGCAGCAGAAGCTAAGCTCTCACATCATCATGCAGGTACAGGAAGCAAGAGAGCGACTGGAAATCTGACAAGGCTTAAGAACTCTCTAAGCCCACTCCCAGTGACGTGCTTCCTCCAAGATATCCACATCTTCTAAAACCTCCCCAAACAATGCCATCATCTGGGGACAAAATGTCCAAACACTTGGAGCCTGTGGGGGACATTTTCATTCACACCACCACACTATAAGATTCTGATTTGCCAGTGTGCCACATGCCACCCTGTGCCTTGGACTCTGGAAGAAGGTGGATGGGGGTGTCACAACCTTCTGGGCTGAATGTCTCACATCTGTCACCTGTACAGGAGACAGTGTTTAACACATAAGTGTGATGGCTTGATAATCCTTTTATAATGCTTCCTCCTAAAGTGGCCAAGAAATAGTCCCTTTCAACTCCAGAGCCAACTGTCCACAGCTGGCTGGCAAGCCTCAATTGGCTGGGAGGAAGTTACATGGCCGTTAGAGTGAAAGACTGAGCAAATGCTCGCTAGGAAATAGATTACATCAGAAAAGTTTTTCTGCTAAGAAAGGAAACTCTTGGGGCTGGAGAGATGACTCAGCAGTTAAGAGCACTTCTCTTACAGAGGACCCAAGTTTGGTCACACCACCCACGTGGAGGCTGACACCACATGGGGCCTGATAACTGTCCTTAATTCCAATTCCAGGGATGAGACGCCCTCTTCTGGCCTCCTTGGGCACTGCATGCACGTGGTGCACTTATATATATGCAGGCAAAACACGTAAGAAAGAAAAAGGACAATCTTTCATTTAATTCCTGCTGCATCTACCCAAGCTGGCGTTACCCCCAGAAATGCAGCGTGACTCACATACGGAATTAGGCGTTAGGAGCTGCGATATTTGATTTCAGTACTTAGAATTTATGTCAAAACGCTGTTTTGGTTACGTGGTACCAGTATTTCCTTTTTGGGGGAGGAGGGGTCTCCCTGTAGCCCCAGCTGGCCTGGAACTTGATATGTAGACCAGGCTGGCCTTTATCTCACAGAGATCCACCTGCCTCTGCTTCCCAAGTGCTGGGATTAAAGATGTGAGCCACTACCCTTGGCAGTATTTCTTTTTTAAGATTAAAAAAAATTCTGGCTGTGTGTGGTAGCAGAGGCAGGTGGATGGTTCTGAGATTGGGGCCAGCCTGGAAAGCTCTACACAGTGAGTTCGAGCCTGGCCAGCTGGGGCTGCATAGTGAGTGAGACCCTGTCTCAAAAAACTGTGGATGTGTGCATGTGTGTGCTGTACCTGAGGAGGCCAGAAGATGGTGCTGGACCTGCAGCTGGAGTTAAAGGCAGTCGTATACCACCTGATATAGATACTGGGAATTGAACTCGTGTCCTGGAAGTGCAGTACGTGCTCTTAGCCACTAAGCCATCTCTCCAGCACATTAGTATTTAAAATAATAAAATTCAGGTGACCATGGCAATACACATCTGCAGTCCCAGCAGATAAGTTTTAAAGCCAGCCTGGTGTGCATAGTAAGCCCAAGCCTATACAGGACCTTATCAAAAACACAGGTACATTGAGATACTTTGACCTAATTTAGTTGCCAACCCAACACTTGAAAATCTATAATATATTTTATATTTTGAACACATTCCAATTTTCATTAGAAATACTTGATCTGTGTTTCATACAGTTGAACAGATTAGGTTTATGTACTCAGTGTTTCAAACAATTGCTTTCCAATAACTGAATGTGACCATTTTTAATCACAGGTAACTTTCAGTAACATTAAAGCTTTGGTTCCTTACTGAAGGCACGTTTCCAATACAGAGTGATAAATGCATCTGGGTATGCTGGTAGACCGGGAATTGTGCTGTCTCACCTCTAACTCTGAGTTCTCCAGCACTGACTAATAAGGGCACAGGAAACAGGAATGGCACTGCTCAGGGGGTGTGCCCAGACCATCCCAAGACTGCTTTATGTGTAGGAGACTTAAACTGGATTCCTCCCACATGGTCTCTGGAGGTGTGTGTGGCTTATGTGGGTGCTTGGCACGGAAGGAGGAAAGCCCCTGCTTCCTAGAGCCTGCAGTCTCATTAGGAAGGCTTAACACACCTTTAGCAAATACATGACAATTTAATAAAAAGTATCTGCAGAGTACAAGTTGCACATTTTATTTCCTTTAAATATTTTGACTGGAAGTTTGTGATTCATCAAAAGCTAATTGTGTCCTGAAGCACTTTAAATGTGAATTTGTTTTCATTTTCCACGAACTGCTCCCGCATTATTTTTGTTGAATGAAAAATTTAAGTGTACACAAGTCCTGAATTTATTAAAATGAATCTCGGTGTTCCCAGGGAGTTCCTGCCTCGCAGACCTCCCAATCCACAGCAGCCGTGTCCCTGGAACCATAGGCACAAAGGGCTCTATTTTCTACCCCTCCCTCTTTTTCTCTTTTTTTCTATTATGCTTGTGTGTGTCTCTGTGTGTATGTGTGTGAGCATGTGTGCTACAGCATGCATGTGGAAGTCAGAACAACTTGTAGGAGTTGGCTCTACACCTTGTGGATCTCATGGATGGAACACAGGTTGTCAGGGTAGCAACAAGTGCCTTTACCAGCTGAGCTGTCACCAGTAACACAGGCCGGCCTCAAGCTAAGTACCAGAGGATGACCTTGAACTTCTGGTCCTCCTGCCTCCACTTCCTGGTGCTAGGATTATAGGTGTGTACCACCACACTTGCCTTACGTAATTGTAATTACGTAATGCTGGGGATTCAACCCAGGACACCCTGCCCCACCCCCGGCCCTCCTAGTTGCTTGCTGTGTGGCCTCTGGCACTGCAGGCCTGTGGGAATGCTGTGGTCCCACCTTCATCCTGCTTTCCGCCTCCTCCTCACCATCAGTTGTCTCTACACTGTAGTCTTCCCTTCCTTCCCTTCAGCTGGCCTCGGGTTGGAGAGCAGTTTTCCCAGAGTAAGATTCTGCTTTCTTGCCCTGCTATAAAGTTGTATTTCAAGCCTAATCTCTCGCTCTCTGCACACTTCACCCTCGCCGTCAGTCAGTCCCTCTTATGCCTCATAGGTTAGTCATAATTAGAGTAGCCAGGTCGTCTCTGCATACCGGAGCTGCTTGTGAAAACTGAACCTTGTGAACCTTGCAAGCTTTTCTTTTGTGTCAGACAGGTTAGATCGTGTGCTGGATACCTTTAGTGTCAACGTGACACACCTGGGTTGAGGGAGCCTCAGTTGGGGAATTGCCTCTATTGGACTGGCCTGTGGCCATGTCTGAGGGGCATCTTCTTGATGAGTGATGTGGGAGGGCCCAGCCCACTGTGGGCGGTGCCACCCCTGGGCAGGTGGGCCTGTGTTGCATAAGAAAGCAGGCTGAGCAGGGGCCAAGGGAGCAAGCCAGTAAGCAGTGTTCCTCCATGGCCTGTGCTCCAGCTCCTGCCTCCAGGTTCCTGCCCTGAGTTCCTACCTTGGGCTCCCAGATAAACTGTGACCTGGGATATGTAAGCTAAATAAACCCTTTCCTCCCCAAGTTGGTAGTGGTCAGAGTATTTTGTCACAGCAATGGAGAAACAAACCAGAACAGATCCCCCCTCACCTAGGTGTCTGTAGGAGACAGAGCGGCTCTGTGGGTATGTATAGATTCTGTTCTCCAGAGCTGCTGATAGCCGGTGGCCTTGGTGGCAAGGGAACTTTGTAGGTACAGTGAAGGCTAAGTTCTTGAAGTGATGAGTTTATCCTGGGTTATTCTCGTGATCCAGTCCAACCCTCGGAGTCCTGAGAAATGGGCCCCGGAGATATGAAGAGGGGCTCAGCAACCACAGACCAAGAAATACCTCTACCCCTAACTGCTCGGGGCCACCCTTGACGCGGCAGGCAGAGGCTGAGGGCTTAATCCCAGAAGCGTGAGGAATGGACCAGGATGAGCAGGGGCTGACTGTCCCCTGGGATCTCCAGGATGGAACGCAGACTGCAGGTCTGTTTTTGTTTCTTTTGAGACATGGACTCACGAAGTAGCCCAGGTTGGCTTCAATCTTGTGATCCTCCTGCCTCAGACTCCCAAGTGCTAGGGTTACAGGTGTGAACCACCACACCATGGGCCAACCTCTTGGTTTTTGTCTGGTGAGTCCCTCACAGTCTTCTGACTACTGTGAGTGGGGTTTCCATTAAGTTAAGCCATTGCGTGTGTGGTTAATGTGTCCTGA